AGTTATTGCGTGCTATAGTCAGAATGTATGATCCTGTTGTGGTTGCGCTCTTCCCATAACAACGCGCTGAAACACAGCAACTAAACCCAAAGAATTCACAACATTTTATTATAATAATGTTCTCATTAGAATGTTATATACACGACATTCCCAATCATAGTTATTAATGTTGTGCACTGCTGTTTGAGCTGCGTGCGCTGAGCTAAAGATGATCACCGGTAAACTGAAGCGCTCTTTTAACTTAACCAAACGCATTCTATATGAGATAAATCAGATATACATCAAATAAACACAATATTACAACGTACAATTGCACAAAAGGCTGCAAACGAACAGCACGCATCTGAAGTGTCTCTGAAGGAAATAATGCATTATTTATCGGCTTTAAGATATCGGCCAAATTTTCTTATCGGGCCGATACCGATAACAGAAAAAATGAGCATTTATCGGCCGATACCGATATGGTGGCCGATATATCGTGCATCCCTACTTATATATTTACTTTGTTATTCAGTGGTGGTTAGGTTTTAGCCACCTCAGACAAAAAAACAAAACAAACAAAAAATAAAGTAAATATATAAATATATGTTAATTAAAAATAAAATATAAACAAAAGCTACTTACAATCATTGAAGGAAAAAAAGGCCTACATTTATAGTATCACGGATACTATGGCAAATGTTATAAGGGTAAATATAACTGCAATGGTTTCATGTGCTCTCATTAGTTGAAGTTGATCACATCATAGACATGCATGGACTGCATCAGTGACACACATTTGGTGATATTCAGTGTTTTTCTGCACTACAGAAGGGAATTTTTGATCATTTGTTTCTTTCTTTTAGGGATGTAACGGTATGAAAATTTCTTATCACGATTATAGTGACCACAGTTATCACGGTTATCAGTATTATCACGGTATTGTTAAAATGTGCTGGAGATGTTAAAAAAGTACTGACACATAAATCACTTCACCAAGTTTTATATTTAAAAATCAACAAACAACAAATAAAATGACTTTTTTGTTTGCATAATCACTAAAACAATAACATTACCAATGATGTTCGGATTTTAAATGACAACAGTTTAATAGCATGTTGAAATATCTAATGTAAATGTTCAAATAAAGCTTTGAAAAAGTTTCATAAAAAGGCAAACCTCACATTTCAGCCTTTAAATAAAGAAAATAAATGTCAAAATGATAATTGATTAATAAATGATTATATGTATTTTATCTGCTCCATAAATAATTCTAGATAACTTATCTGAATTGTTTAAATGTGTAGAATCCACATAAGCTTGTTTTTCATCAACCGGTCAAAATTGACAGCAGGGCATGCAAATTCGGTCCGTTTTTGGCCAGACAGAAACTGCACACAGACTGAATGTAAATATAAGTCTCTGTAAATCCAATCGCTGACAGCAGGTGGCGCTGATGGAAAAGCTGAATTAGAGCTGTTTCCCGTAACGTCTGTGGACAAAGCAGTTTTGCGATTAAGAACACTTCCTTTAGGTATTACATGGAGCGAAGATGAAAACAAAATGCCATCGA